TTTACTTACTACACACACACACACACACACACACACACACACACACACACACACACACACACACCCCTACCTCTCTTGTTTATAGAAACACAGTGAGGAAAAAAGTCATGTTTTACTAAACCATGAGCCTAAAAGATAAAGGACTGCTCAGATATTATGGTGATAGGCTCCAAAATAACCATTTAAAATTGGTTTTTAAAAATATACACCAGACAATAGCATTAGGAAGAAAACAGAGCAGAGAGAAGAGAGGAAAGACAAGCAATTAAACAATGAGAGGGAGGGAGCAGGAAGGCAAACATAGCAGCTGATTATAAGACTAGATAAAAGAAAAATAAGACAAGACACACCTTATGACAGAGATTGCTATCACATCACATGGGTTGGTTCAGTACCATTTAAGTCACAAGTAAGTTAGTTCACTAGAAGTCTAAAAATCTACTTTTAAAATAATTACACACAAAAACACTACATTAAAAGAATATTAAGGTTGCAAACTCAAGCACCGTGCAACCTTAATTCAGTTCCCGTGTGCATATTCATTATGAGAGTAAGCACATGATTGCATACTAGTTTTGCCACAGGATCCCTGCCTCTTTTATAACTTGAGTTTACAGCTTGGCCAAATATGTGCAAATTTTCATGGAGATGACAAAAGGCATATCCCTGACACTAAAACCACTCCCCATCAAATTTCAAGTCCCTGCTCCAAGCATTGGGGAGGGAAGGGGGAGGAAAGGGGGCGCTTGAGCTGTTCAAAGAAAAGATTGCCAGATTGTTTTTAAATATGGGTAATCCACGTATTTATCCCTAGCCCCGTCTTTGAAACAGCTAAACCATTTTAGCTGAAATTTTCCAAAAAATTCAGCCCAACTTGCACAGCCAGCATGTAAAATTTCAGCCCAAATGGTTACAGTTTGGCAAAGTTAAAAGAAACTGAAAAAAACAAACTGACTCTTAAAATGGGAGTCAGGCAAAATTTTACACAGGGCAATGTGGAATATTTGATGCAAAAAAGAAATAAATTAAATTTAAAATAATCCAGAGAACAAAAATTTCAATATGGCTCCAATATCATGGCAAGTCAGTTCTTAGGTCTAACAAGCTTGACAATATTCTTTTAAAAATCTACCTGAAGAAACGTTAACTTTACTCTCAACTCCGAATGTGAACTTTATTTTTCTTAAAGAAAAAAGTGCCTCTAGATATTGCTTTATAATAATAAGAAAAATAGAAAAAGAACATGAAATACAATAGAAAAGCAATAAATCCTCTCTTGGGTCTTTGTCCTCCCAGACTCCAAACGTATCAAAGTCCACCTCTGTTTAAAATGTCTTTTTCTGTTATAGCCACTTAGACACAGGAGACCTGTTCAGAAACAAGTTTGTGAAACTATGCTGGGAAAGGAATGAACGAGTGTTTAATTGATTTGTCTTCAAAATCAACAGAAATAAAACTAATTTAATTGGCTTGTAATAGATCTCAGCCATTATACAAAAGTTGTTTCCTCCAAAGTGTTTCAAATATCAGGAAAAATATTAATACTGGTGATAAACTAATACGACCGAACAACCCCCCAAAAAAAGTTCCTGAATATGTTCTGTACAGTAAATATTTAGTTTCTGATCATGGAACAGAGTTTAAAGCACTTGCTTAGAAATCTACAGAAACAATGTCATATATTTTTGTGACACAGCGGCCACTTAATTTTTTTCCGCAGTGCCCATTACTACAGTATCTGACCAGTGAAGCAGTACATTAAAGCTGCTTGCCATTGTCCACAGTGGATTTCATACAGGAGTCCTCTCATAGCCATAACAAATTCTAGGAACATAAAGTTCTGTTTTTGTGTTTTTTTCCTGTTTGTTGAAACAGTCGTTCAAATGGTAACAGAACCCCAACCACACCCCCTGTATTTCCATACAATTCTGTATAATATGACATGAACTCAGAAGTTTAATTGGTTGATTGCTACAGTGAAAGATCCCCCTCCCCTCTTCTAAGCAGAACTTTAAATTTGATTTTAATTTTGATTGTAATTAAAGGTAACTTTAGGATCTCTGCCTATACACACATTGTTTAAAAAAAAACCCACTAATCTACAGTGTTCTCTGAAATTTACATATATATATTTTTCTGAGCTTCTAAATTTAATAAAATTAGATTCCCAATTTTATTTCTGAAGATGAAAGAGAATAAAGTTTCCTAAAAGTGAAACAAAGTTTACTATTTGTGATGATAACCCAAACCATAAACCCCTCCAAACCGGGAAGAGTTAAGATAAGAAGAAAACCTTGGAAAAAATGACCAAGCACATTTTCTTCATCTTGTTTCCTCAAAAACCATACGAAAGTGTTGCACTCTTTTTTCATAGAACCCAAGATTATTCTGTATATCATATCATATTATATTATGCTAATACTTTCTGAAATGTTTTCCTTGTTCATTTCTTGATGGTTCTATAATTTGTTTTCTTGTCTATCTGGATAAATGAAACCACCATAGACTAATATTTTAATCTTTTTTTAGAAGCACTTCCCCTTATCATATTTACATTTCCTAGTCTTCCTGCCATTTTGCTTTGGAAATTTTATCATCATTCTACTATGGAGGTATTAATCTACTAAAGATTTATTTTTAAATCAAGAAGTACCACTCTTCATGCAGCTAAGATAATGTGTTACATTTAATTCAGAAGTTAGCTCTTCCCTTATGAAAGGTCAATGATTTGCTAATGAGTCAGACTGAAAAAAAAGGTGCTTTGCAATACTAACATTTTCTGCGATGTAAGTTAGAGCAGTGCAGTGGGATTGTTCATTGCTATGGTAAAACAGAAACAGAAACAGAACCAGTAACATTAAAGTTCCTGGTGACAGATGAAGTAACTGATATTTCCCCAAAACATTATTTAAAACTTTGAAAAAATATTGCACTTGTATCAAAGTGTTTTGTGAAATATTAAATGCAGTTTGCAGGAGAAAATATCTTTCACCAACCACTGATAGTTTACTCCGGAAATTATTACATGATGTAACTTGGTTTACATATGTGGTTTTCCTTTGACCTGTAGCACAGTGTTTAATATATTCATAGGTTGAAATAAAACTTAGCTTTAACAAACACTGCAGAAAAACAATACAAGAATATGGTTAGTATTTGCAAAAAGATTGTTTCTCATTTGACTCATCGTATGCAGACATGACAATCTCATATTAAAGACCAGTACAATTTCAAAACAGTTTTAACAACGGTTCCTTGCTGAAGAAGACTTTTGATAATAAGTGTACCTACTTCCCCTCTTATATTTCAGATGTATGCTTTTTCAGCTACCCATTTCTCCCCCTCAGACCAGATTCTCTTTCTGCTTGATCCTGGAGTGAAATCATAATGTTGCATTTATGACTTCACATACTTTTATGGCAACACAATGATGTCACAAAACAGGATTAATGACTTCACTAATGGAGCAAGAAACAAGGAGAAAATGAAATCCAATTCACACACAAGAAGAGAGAACCTGGCCAATTAGGTAAATTGTGTACATATTCTCTGTTGAAGCTTGCTCTAGTGTGAAAATTCCTTGTATACAGAGAGAGAATATCATAAAACTGCCCACACCTCTGCAGATAATGCTTCACAGAGGAAAACGTAGTCCCTTATCCTATAAATACTTAATCACGTGTAATTTTAATCACATGAGCCTTTATTCTCATAGACATCAATGGACTATTCCCATTTGTAAAATTACTTCCATGTATAAATATTTGTAGAATCAGACCTTAGATTATGTATAATATAGGCATCTTCTCTAGTGAGTTTACAGGGGCTAGAAATACTGTAGAACTGTAGAGGGCTTTCTGCCTCCATAAAAGATGGAAGAGTGTCAAACTGTGTAGCCAATAGATGTCCCCTCAGCTAGGAAATGATGTGCTGTGTGAAAGCCACTATTACATGCAATCAAGAAAAAGTTTAACTGAGTAAAAATACCAATTCAGAATGGAGGTCTTGGCGAAACACAAAACAACTTTACTTTAACCAATGAAGGTTCAGAAAGCTCTGTCTGGGTGAAATGAGAAGCCTTCAATTCCACCAGACATTAAACTTATTATTTAGGAAGGTTCTAAGCACTTTACAAACATATAAGAAACTTCCCCAAACAACTTACAATATAATCATTGACACCACGGAGTAGGGTAAAAGATTCACAGATTTTTTTTAAGGCCAGAGGAAACCATTATGATCAGAGGATACAATGAGTTTCCCTTTAACTTCCAACTCCTTGACTTTTATTGCTTTTATTTTTAACTCTTGCCTATTAGCATTTTTAATATAAATTCAAGACAACTTTCTATTTTCATTTAGCTTTTAAATTCTTGCCTGTTTTTAACTTTCTTTGTTTTTTTTTTTTTAATTTATCTTATTAAGAGATAGGACGTATGGATTAGTTTAACTAGGAAAGAGCTTGACCCTTTACCTCAGCCCAGGCCTATTCTAACTTTTTTGATAGAAAACTAGAAAGAAGTCTTGCCTTTTACTTCAATAACCCATTGTGTGATCCTTTGACATCTCTCACAGTCTCTTTTTTAACTATGCCTCTTTTCCTGTCATTCTCTTCCCTCCAGTTCTCACTCACTAGTCAATTCTGACAATGCCAAAAGAACTGCTGCACAACCAAAGGAGAGGGAAAATTATTTGAGGAAATAAGGTTAGTAATACATATTGCTGTTTACAAATAAATACTGACAAACTATAAAATAATAACACTTGGGCTATAATTTAATTCACTTTCAGAAAATCATCATTTGTCCACATGTCTATTTTAGAAAGTGCATTGGTAATAATGATAAATACATGGTAATGAATTGCTGTTTGGCTTTCCTCTCCTCTTAGGCATGTAACCAGATTCATTTTTCAAACTCCAAGAAATGGAAGAAAAAAAAAAAAACTTTGAGAGAAAGAAATGACATTACCTGTTATAAGGAAAAAACAAAATGGTTGGGAGATGATCCGTCATAAATTCCCATGGAAGGTCATTTCGAGTGACATCAATTCTGTTAAAAATGAAACAAAAAGAAAAAATAAACTGATAAAGATGCAGCTGAACATTCCATCTATTACTTTTGCTTCTCAAATATCTGGTTTGTTTTGTTTTTTATTTTAGAGGGGGATTAGAGGTCACAAAAGAAAACATGCCTAAATGTATTCTGACACAAGAAACATGGTGAAGACAAATTAGAAGAGTTACACATAATACTCAAAACAACTAATCCCAGTTTAGCTAATTGTCATAACAGATCTCTAGTTGATATTTTTCTGCCAGAAAATGAAATTAGTATAAATATTCGCAATTTTCTTATTCAGTAATGAATTAAACCTGGATTAATCATTGCCACTTACTATGTGTACTGGGAAGAACTCTTGTTTTGAGACATGCTGATCTGACAACCATTGGCTGCAGTTTCAATCATTTATACCAGCGGTTCTCAAATTATGGGGCAGGCCTCCCAAGTGAGGCGTGGGAATATATCAAAGGAGGCATGAGCTGTGTGCTTTTTGAGGGGAGGGAGGGAGGAAGAGCTCTGACTGTCAGCCCTGCAGAAGGGCTGTGCACACCTGGGATGTGGGGATAAAGGAGACAACTGGAGCCCCGCCACCCAGGCTTGGACTCCTCCCCCACACCCTGGACCCCAATCCCTCACCTGAAGGTGGTGGGGCTCTGACTGTTAGCCCAGGGTGGCAGCAGTAGCCCAGAAATAAGTGTGGCAATGGAGTGATAAGTCTGCTGTGAAAAGTGATATTGACAAATATCATTTTCACATCGCCACCCCTACTTCTGTGCTGCTGCTGCTGGCGCAGTGCTGCCTTCAGAGCTGGGTGTCCAGTCAGCAGCCACTGCTCTCCACTCTGCCTTCAGAGCTGGGTGGCAGTATCTGAACTTTTTTGGGGGGGATAGTGTGTAGACGACTACAGGAACAAAGAAGGGGGGCCCAATCAAATAAGTTTGAGAACCCCTGATTTATACAATGGTAAGTGGAAAGAAAGCCATCATTAGAAATTTTCTATTTTGCAACTGTGTAGGATGTATGGTGTCAGCTACATTTTGTCTTGGGAAAAATATGGAAAGACATTTGGTATATCCTCACTGTTCATAAAGTAAATTAATAACACAGCAATTAATTAAAAAAACCTTTATCTTGATTCCCAGAAAACCAGATTTCCCATTATAAACAACATGAGAGAGAGATTTTCAGACCTCAGAATAGGAAACACCTCATGTGGCTCATCACAGCAAGCATCCATTCAGCTGTATGCTTATTCACAACTATTTATCACTTATTCCAGGACACCACAAGTTTAGTGTGCTCTGGACAACATTGAGACTTTTGAGTTTCATCCATTATAATAGGAGAGCACCATCTTACAGATGGGAACAGATTGTCAATAATCTATAGTTGTTTATTATTACAGCAGGTTGACTTTAAATTAGCAGTGCTGTTTTATTAAGTCTTAACTGTGTTGGCCCTGGCTACACTGAAGACTTACTCGTTGAGCCTTGGGGCTTATCCATGCAGACTTTTTGCACCGTTTTAACTATAATGGTTTAGAAACTGATATTGTTGAAGTAGTACCAAAAAATGCATGTAGACTAGCCCTTTTACTGACTGATGGGAAGCTTAAATAGCAGGAGGCATGAGACTGGTTTTGCGGCAGTGGGCCCTACAACATGGAACTTGCTCCCCAATGAAATTTGTCCAATCCCTTTATTTCCCTTTCTAACCCCCCCTCCCCCACATTTGTTTTTGTGTGTTTGCACTTTAATAACAGTGGTATATTATGTTTGTATTATGTTGTACCTCCTTTTAAACCAGGAGGTGGATTCTGTTACAGTTAATCAGAACCATCTGACTCCTGTGCAGGAAAGGAAAAGAATGTGGAGAGTAGCACAAGTAACCACTCCACTACCTCTGGGAATGAGAGATAAGATGGGAACAGAAACAGAATAGGCCCTGCAATAAAACTGAAATTCAGCAATCAAAGCTCAAGGGAAGCTCGTGCCAAGACTGAGAGTGAAATTTTGTATTTACTTAGAAAAGCAGGTTTTAGGACTGCTTTAACAGCTCATTAAAATAAGATACAGGAGATAAATGTGCCATTTTAAAAATTAAATAAAAGGATTTTTTTCTAATACTGTATTCATCTTATAGTTAATAAAAAAAACGATATAGCTAGCTGGTTGTCAGACCATTGAAGACTTTCTTGCTCCATTATTAGCCTAAGCTATATATGGTGCAACAGGTTAAATATTATCAGTAAGAGGGAATGGCAAAACTTAGATGAAGTATTGTATAGATCAGTGGTTCTCAATCTATGGGGCAGGCCTTCCAAGAGAGGCACGAGCTGTGTGTCCCTTTTTTTTTTTTTTAAAAGAGGTCTGGCTGTCAGCCCCAAGTGGCTGGGGCTCACACAGAAGGGCCACGCACACCTGGAAGGCAGGAATAAAGGGGGAAGCTGGAGCTCAAATATAATTTTTCACATTGCCACTCTAACTTCCGTGCTGCTGCTGGTGTGGTGCTGCCTTCAGAGCTGGGTGCCCAGCCAACAGCCATTGCTCTCTACTCTGCCTTCAGAGCTGGGTGGCAGTATATGTACTCATGGGAGGGGATATGTGTGTAAACAACTACAGACACAAAGAAGGGGGGCCCGATCAAATAAGTTTTCAAACCCCTGATATAGATTACTCATTGAGAGTGTAATTTGTCCCAGCATAAATTATAGGTTCCCACTTAAAGTCTTAAAAATTGGGCTTATGTGATAAATAGGCCTCAGGCTGGCCCTTGGTCAAAGTGAATTTCAGCCAAAGTGAAATGACAAAAGATGCAACTCAAGAAGAGTTTGCAAGTGCTGATGTAAAAGACATGGTAGTAAGGGAATGCCAAGGTGGCACTGCTAAACACTCAAAAGTCTTGCTCCTTGCACAATATAGCTTTGGATTCATAATCCCATATTATTTCTCAAATAATACAATATAATATTGCACATGGTTTTGCTACAGCTTTTGGAGGAGTGATGTGAAAAAGTTTGCACTCTTGCTGCCCATGATTTACCAGGTTCTGTGTTTTGCAGTCTATCAGTTCTGAGGATTTCAGTCCATCACAAACTGTGTACTAGATAAAAAAATCACTTTCTTTAAAAGTGCAAAAAAACCTAGCAGGACAGCAATCCAACCACCACCCGGTGCTAAACCTTTTAGCACTACTTACATGAAAACAAAATGTACATACAAAGAAGAGATAAAGCGTCTACCCGAAGTACAGTATACATTTTTTCTTTCTTCTCTTTACATATATTTTTCCTCTGAGCTGATGAGCTCACTCAACTCAATTTTGAGTAAACAGACTAAATTGGAATCTAATAGTAATATTCTAAACTTATTATGTAATGTTATAATACACTGCTTATAACAAATTCATGGGACTTGTATCTAATTTGACAGACATGCAATCTTAATTTAAAATTAAACATAAATTAGTGGAAATTAATGGCACTATATCAACTTTACAAGCTACAAAATATCCATATATGCATGTCTGGAAGTCCAAGTAGTCACAACAGTATAGTTAAAAATACTGTGGAAAATGAGGATAGATTCTTTTACCTCGCCACAGTGAAGTTGTTTGGAGGCAGAAGTCGCGCTAGTTGGATAAAGATGTGATTAAGAGAAGCACAGAATCCACACCATTGCGCATAATAGAGCAGCAAGACATCCTGGAGGTGGTGGGGGGGGGAGAGAAGGGGGAAGAGAAATTCAGTTAGCAACTGGGGTTTGTTTACATAAAGCAGAAATAGTCATCACTGGGTAAAACAAAACTTTTGAGCTATTTAAAAACAAAAGAAAATGTAACCTCATCTTTCTATACCCCCTGTCAACCAAGCAATGGGCCCAACTCATTGGTGCCCTGCAGCTCCTGAAGCAAAAAGAAAGAAGAAAACTGTTGTAGGGCCCATGGGGAAATTTTCTCAACATGAGGGGTATCCTCAGCAAGTGCAAGGTTGATATAATGGCTCAGTGCCACACCCAGCAGGAATCCCTGATGCAGGGGGCATGTTGATAGCATAGCCTGGGAAAAGGAGATATGGCCTGGGTTACAACTGGCAGCCAGGTGCAAGTCTTCTGGGCGCCAATCTCTGTTGGGAGCTCAACCAGCCCATGATGGCCCCACCATCAGGGAGATACAAAGGTGGCATAAAACAATCTTTAATCCCTCATCATTCTCTGCACCAAGATCATCTATAGCACTGAGGTGAATTGGGCCCAATGACTAAAATGGAACGAGCAATCTGACTCTTGGACGGCACTGACAACATAGCCACTCTATACTGTTATACTGATGCACCAACAAAACATATGTGGGGCTCTGTGCTCACTTCATGTCATCTAGCAGTCATCCATAAACCATCCTTCCTTTAATGTTCAAAACCAGAAAAATGACCAAACAGGATTACTTGGTTTCCACTAAATGCAAATAGAGTATCAAAGTATCTTATAGTTCTCATGATTGTTCTTTCATAGTTTCAAACAATTTAAGGCCAGAAGGGACCATTAGATCACCTAGTCTGACCTCCTGTATATCACAGGATATTAAATTTCACTCCGATACTCCTGTGCTGAACTCAAAGATTTTAGTTACACTAAAGTTCTTCAGTCTTCAGGAAACTAAACCGTGCACCACAAACAAAGAGTCAAGAGTCAAGGAGCCCCCAAGTGTCCAAGGCCTGAGCAATGATAATGCCCAGATGACTCCAGCAGGTGAACCAGCACCATGCTGGAGAGGAAGGCGAAAACCCCCAAGGTTCCAGCTAATGTGACCTATGGGAAATTTCCTTCTGAATCCCAAATCTGGCAATTAGTATGACTATGAGCATGTGAGCAAGATACACCAGCCAGGCATATACTGGTCCACCCCCCGTCCACTGTCTTGTCCCCTACTGTGGGGAATCTCTGCTTCTTCAGATGAAGAAAATCTCCCTCTCTGCCAATGAATACATCATGCAGAGGGGGGAAAAATCCTTCTTGACTGCTGCAGGCAATTGGCTGAAGCCCTGAAGCATGAGATTTGATTATAGTCATTATTTTAATTCAGAGCTGCAAGTATTATGAACATGTTGAGGGAAATGCAGGCAGTCCTGTTAACCCCAGGGCCCATGAAGGAAGAGATGGACAGAATTTCTCAAATTCACAGATACTCAGATTCCAAGACCAGCCTTTCATTCCCATTTAAATAATGGTCATTGTACACTTTAAATAGAAAATCTCTGGGGAACTCTAGAGAACTAAGCAATTTTCCTGCAGCTAGCACACTAGGCACTGGGGACACAGGAAATTGAATATTGCACATGCATTCATTCTCTGCTATCCTAGTAGCCAAAGAATATTAGTCCAAATTCAGTCACACGTTTAAAGAATCAAAATTATATAAAGTACTTTAGGCACCCTTCAAAATTACACTGTATATCAAAAAATTTCACATCATGAAATCAAAAAGCTTTTTATTATGGATTTTTGTGATGTATGCTTTTAAAATACTACTTTTTGTTGGGATTTTTGTTTCTTTGTTTTACAACCTTCAATTTTCTCTGTTATAGTTACTTCCCAATCACTTTTGTTCACTATTTTGTACCTTAGTTCTAGTAAGACAGCAAGAGGCTCCCTCTGCAACCAGCACAATCTCTACAGCCTTAACTGGTTCATAAAAGCAATGTTCATCATACATATCTCCAATTCCATTCAAGACTGAGTAGGTTTGGGACCTGTTCTTGACCTTGGGTCTTCAAACTCTACTTAATTTGTTAAGTATTGCCACCATGAAAACAAGGGCAAAGCAGGACTTCTCCATCCCCCACAATTATATATGTAATTCAACCACATTTAGCAAATAAGAATACAAAAGGCTAAACCACAGCTATGACAAATACACACAGCACAGGAAGGCAGAGGGTAGGTGTCTTCAGGGAACTGGTTTGGCTGATTTTCTGGCTGCTTTGTGCCATCAGAGTGGTCTCCTAAATTTAAATGACTGAAGTACAACTTTCATGGAGTGCCCTTGTTTAAAATTATGTACACAATTAGTGTAACTCCATGGATGGGAGAGGAGGAGACCCTTTAGTTTTAAACAATGAAAATTCAGAAGACTGAATTCCGCAATTCTATTCTTCAAAATGTGATTAATCCCTCGATGGAACTGCAGTAATGAGCTGTACCTTTTCACTCAAAACCACCACATCACGAAAGGTGGTAGTAGTCACTTCGGTGATTATGTGCTGTGCAGGAAGATGAACTGAAGAGTCACCAACAAGATGCCTTTTCAAGGGACTGTAGAGAATGCTGAAGTTTTGAATGAAGTTCTCTAAAATGAAAGAAGGACATTGAGAAGGTTATTCCAGCTTCATTATATCTGTAATATCTAGGCTGCCTGTTTTTACTTTGGGTTTCAGAAGACAAACTGACTTATGGCATAAAAGAAAAATACAAGTCTAGTTTACCAGCCCTAAATATTATTTCTGTAGTTTTACCTCAGTTTCTGATTAACGATCATTCACATGGCAACAGAATGCAGAAAACTGCCTTGGGTTATCTTTTGCCTTGACTACTACAACCTTCTCTTCACTGGTATCACTGCTTTTTACCTTGCTCTTACTCTAGTTGAGGGGTTCTCAACCTTTTTCTTGTTGAGGCCTCCCTCAACATACTATAAAAACTCCAGAGCCCAGCAGGACTCAGGGCTCCCGGCCAGGGAGGGGGGAACCCTTGGGCATAGGCATAGTTTGACTTCAATTTTTTTTTATTTTCTGGGAAGGGAGGGGTCAAGGGTTGGCAGGGCTCAGACTAGCTCCGCACAGCGGGGTCCAGGGAGAGAGAGCCACCTCCACCCCAACTCTCCTCAGCAGACCACCCGCCTGTCTGGGTTGTGGGGAGCCGCAACCAAAAAGGGTGGGACTCAGCTCAAAAAGTTTGAAAACCGCTCAGGGTGCAGGCAGGGGATATCTAGGAGCTGTGTGCAGTGAGGGGTGTAGCTCAGGGAGCAGGGAGGGGATAGCTAGGGGCTGTGTGCATGCAGGGGGGTAGCTCAGGTTGCAGGGAGAAGGATAGCTAGGGGCTGTGTGCGTGCAGGAGGTTAGCTCAGGTTGCAGGAAGGAGGATAGCTAGGGGCTGTGTGCCAGGAGGGCTCCCCTGCGGTGGCTGCTCCGTGAAGGCTCTGCAGGCCCCAGAGTCGGGTCCTCCCACCTAGGCAGCTTTTACCAGCTGTGTGAGCAGTCAAAGGGGGTTGGGAGCTGAGGAGCAGCCGCAACCCTGGGCACCAGCAGCAGACGAGGGAAAGCCACAGCTGCCCGCTCCATGGTGCCACCAGAGGAGCAGCTGCCCTGCACTGCCTAGCTCTGGTTTCCCACCAATCTGGCCAGAGAGCTAGGCCTGAGGTGGACTGGGGGAGAGGAGAAGGTAGGGCGTGGAGCTGCCCCTGGACTGCCTCACTCTGGGTAAGGCACTGCAGTTTTGGGGGGGGGGGCAACACCCTTGTGCCCCCCAACTCTGCCCATGGACTCAGGGCTTCAGTCCTGCATGGCTCCCAGCTTCAGGCAGGGGGGAGGAGGGGCACTGGGGCTCCTGGCTTCAGCCCCGTGCCGCTCCCAGTGCAGGCTGGGGAGTGTACCTTCAGCTCTGCACCGCTCCTGGCTTGGGGGGGGTGGGGGGGGAGAGGAAGGGTGCCAGCTTCAGCCTCACGCCACTCCGGGCTTCAGCCCTGCAGGGGGGTGCCAGGGTTCGGAGCACTGGGTTTCAGCCATGGGGCCCCATGGACTCCCTGAAAGGGCTCATGGACCTCCAGGGGGCCACAGACCCCGGTTAAGAATGCTGCTCTAGTCTATCCAAAATGCTGCAATACAAATTTCCTCTTCTGTGATCAGACCACATGGTCAGTCCCAATTAGAATCCTTTCACTGGCTTTCCTTCACATTCTGCGCCGAGTTCAAGTTTCCAGTGCTCCTCTTCAAGACTCTGCACGATTCCACTCCTACTTATATCTATGCTCTTATTTCTTCCTACTTACCCTCCCACTCTCCTTTGCTCTGCCCAAGTCCCTCTTCTAATTACTTCTTTTATATCCTTTCCCCCAGTCATCTTTCATGCCTATGTGCTTGAAACAGTCTGCTCTCTTGTGTGTCAAATGACCACATTCCCCCCATACAACTCTCTTTCCATAAAACTCACTTCTTCTCAGACAACTTTGAACAATAACCCACCAAAGATAGATATGAAAATAAAACACCACTCATCTACACTGCCTTGAGACTTCATTTTCTATTACGTGTTACAATGTCAAAACTGTATTTCCTGTTCAATTTAGACCCAGGTCATAATTCTGCTATGTACTTTATGATGCCAAGTAGATTCAAGAACTGAGACTCGCATTATACAATGCCAGATGATACTCAAATAATAATTTAGTCATTTGGAACAGCACAAGTTCTGGCACAGATCTTTGGGAGACCCCACTACTTACCTCTTTCCATTGTGAAAACTGACCATTTCTATATTGAGAACACTAGCATGAAAACTAAACAAAATCAGGATTAAATTAATGACCAAAGTGAACAGGAAAAGCAAATTATAGGTACCTGAACAGGTGCATTTGCATATAATAGTAAATTCTACCTTATTTTTAAAATTTTAACTCAACATTCATGAAAATCAAGACCAAACCAAAGCTCCATGTTTTTAAAGCAACTAGATTTTGAAAGACTATGGGATGTTTTTTGCTGTGGTGTACTTAAACAAAAAAGATGAGGTCTGTCTTTTTAACTGTATTAAGAGCTCGTGATATTTTTTTAGAAACAATCTGTAAAGTTTCTCATTGGGCCAACAGTTAGATCTATTACTGTAATTAGCTTCTAACTGCAAGATAATCTGTGTTTAAAAATAGCTACTCTACTTAAGGAGTGTGGAAGGAATATGGGAGTTGGATTTTTGTTTTTGTTTTTAAATATCTTAGTCACTGAGGTATTTGCTTAAGTTATTTTTCAATTTCTGCTGCAAAATGTAACTATGCAACTGGCCCAGGGCAAGAAATGATGCAAGAACAATGTAAATACACCTATCTGAGCAACTTATTTTAATACTCAATTATGAACACACATGTATTTGCCTCTCTTCCCATTCACCACTGCCTACATTACAAGGCTGATTTTTACATGAATTTGCCTCTTCCCTTTCAACACTGCCTGAATTAAAGGCATGATTTTCAAAACTGTATGCTTGCAATTTCATGCCCAAAAGGTGCACTTAATTTTTGCAAGAAATTAACCAGACTGTTATGCAAAGTGGGTATTTTCATGTGTAAAAGGCTAGTTATATATCTTGTGTGTGCCTTTCAAATAACCGGACATGCAGGTTAGGAATGTAATTCACGTGCTCTTCTGAGCAAATGACTGCACACATGTAGTTTTGGAAATAAGCGTGTACTAGTCTGGAAAAAAGTATCTAATGGCAGAAAAAAAACAAATTACTAAGTTAATTTAGAAATGGTTTCAAATACAGTTAGAAAAACAAAGGTAACATAATTTGACTAAATATACCTCATATCTCTGTCTTGATAAATTCATTCTGACAAAAGTATGTGCACACAAGAACATAACAACTGCCATACTGGATCAGACCAATGGTCTATCTAGCCCAGTATCCTGTCTCTAACAGTGGCTAATAGCAGGGCTGCAGGGGGAGTGTACACAACAGGGCAACTTTGGAGAGTTCCTCCCGGGTCTTTCCCTGCCAGTTTCTGGCAGTCAGAAGTTTAGGGTCACTGTGAGCATGGGGTTGCATCTGTAACCATGTTGGCTAATAGCTGCTGATGGACCTATTCTCCATGAATTTCTCTAGTTCTTTTTTTAACCCAATTTTTCTTTTGGCCATCACAAGTTTCTACGGCAATGAGTTCCATGGCTAACTGTGGGTTGTGTGAAAAAGTACTTCCTCTTGTTTGTATTAAACCTGTTGCCTATTCATTTCATTGGGTGACCCCTGGTTTTTGTATTGTGGGAAAGAGTAAATGACACTTCTCTATTCATTTTTCCCCACACCATTTATGATTTTATAAACCTTAGTTATATCTCCCCTTAATTGTTTCTTTTCTAAGCTGAACAACCCTTATCTTTTTAGACTCTCCTTGGATGGAAGCCATTCCATACTCTTAATCATCTCTATTGCCCTTCTCTGAACCTTTTCCAGTTCCACTATATCCTTTCTGAGAGGGACAACCAGAACTGGACACAGTATGTGCACCTTGGATTTATACAGTGGTATTATATTTTCTGTCTTATTTTCTTATACCTGTCCTAATAGCTACTAACACTCTGTTAGCCTTTTTGACTGCTGCTGCACACAGTGCTGAAGTTTTCAGAAATCTATCCATGACGACTCAGATCTCTTTCTTCAACGGTAACAGCCAGTAAAGAACCCATCATTATATACGTGTAGTTGAGATTATTTTTTCCAGTGTGCATTGCTTTGCACTTATCAATGTTTCATTTAATTCATCAATTTCATCTGCCAGTTTGTTCCCCAGTCACCCAATTTTGTGAGATCCTCCTGGAACTTTTGACAGTCAGCTATGCACTTCACAATCTTAAATACTTTTGTATCATTTGCAAACTTTGCTACTTCACTGTTCACGCCCTTTTCCAGATAATTAATGAATATATTGAACAGCACAGGTTCCAGCACAGATCTTTGGGAGACCCCACTACTTACCTCTTTCCATTGTGAAAACTGACCATTTATTCCTACCCTTTGCTTCCTATCTTTTAACCAGTTACCGATTCATGAGAGGAACTTCCCTGTTATCCCATGACTAATTTCCTTAAGAACTTTTGGTGAGGAACCCTGTCAAAGACTCTCTGAAAATCAAAGTACTGCATACTGACTGAATCACCCCTATCAACATGCTTGTTGACACCCTCAAATAATTCTAATAGATTGGTAAGGCATGACTTCCCTGTACAAAAGCAGTGTTGATTCTTCCCCAACAAATCATGCTTATCTATGTGTCTGATCATTCAGTTCTTTACTATAGTTTCCACCAATTTGACCAGGACTGAATTTAGGCTCACTGGCTCCTAATTGCAAGATTGTCTCTGGAACCTTTTTAGAAGCTACATTAGAGTCACCTTCCAGTCATCCAGTACAGAGGCTTGTTTCAGTGACAGGTTACATACTACAGTTAGTAGTTCTGCAATTTCATATCCAAGTTCCTTCAGAATTCTTGAGTGAATACCACCTGGTCCTGGGGACTTATTATGGCTTAATTTATCAATTTGTTCTAAAACCTCTTGCATGATAGTATTTCAGGTTTGTAACCAAAAGGAATAGTTCTGCAGTGGATATCTCCCCCACATCCTCTACAGTGAAGACCAATGTAAAAAATTTGTTTAGCTTCTCTCAATGGCCTTGTTTTCCCTAGGTGCTCCTTTAACACTTTGGTCTTCTAGTGGCCCACTTCCTGTTTGTCAGGCTTCCTGCTTCTGACATACTTAACAAAATTTTTACTGTTAGATTTTGCATCTTTTAGCAAGTTGCTTCTCAAATTCTTTGTTGGCCTGCCTCATTATACTTTTACACTTAACCTGCCAGAGTTTGTTTCCTTCCTATTATCTTCACTAGGTTTTGACTTTCAAATTTTAAAAGATGCTCTTTTGCCTCTAAACAGCTTTCATTTACTCTTCTGTTTAGCCATTGTGGCATTTTTTTGGTCCTCTTATTGTCTTTTCTGATTCGGGGTATACATTTAGTCTGATCCTCTATTATGGTGATTTTAAATAGCAGGCATTTACCGTTGTGACAGCTCCTTTTAATTTCACACTAACAATCATCCTCATTTTGGGGTAATTCCCCTTTTAGAGTTAAATGTCACCATGATGGGTTTATATTAGGGCTGTCGATTAATTGCAGTTAACTCACGCGATTAACTAAAAAAAATTAACTGCGATTAAAAAAGTTAATCATGATTAATCGCACTGTTAAACAAGGTTTTATTTTTGAATGTAGGTTTTTTTTGTACATAATTCTACATTTGTAAGTTCAACTTTCATGATAAAGAGATTGCACTACAGTACTTATATTAGGTGAACTGAAATATACTATTTCTTTTGTTTTTTACAGTGCAAATATTTGTAATAAAAAATAAATATAAAGTGAGCACTATACACTTTGTATTCTGTGTTGTAATTGAAATCAATGTATTTGAAAATGTAGAAAACATCCAAAAATATTTAAATAAATAGTATTCTATTATTGTTTAACAGTGCGATTAATCGCGCAAATAATCGCATCTTAAAATCATAAAATCATCTTAAACATTTTCTCTGAGGCATCAGCAGTTATTTAATTTGAGCTACGGTACACTTCTATGGTACACTTCTTTAAATCTGCTGGCAATCTGGTTTCGTGGACTGACCACTTAGGGAAATTCCTATAGTTTGATGACATACCTATTGTCCAACCACTGACAAATACTATGAGGTTGAGGTTGGCAAAATTTCCACTTGAACTGAGTAAGTTATTCCTGGATTGTGAAATTATTCATTCTTTTATCATACCCTAGAACAACCCTTTGCTGTTTGATTAATTATTAAGCAGATGAAGATCCAGAATGCTTTCCATAGGCTCACTTTGCAAATTGATCTGCTTTTGTCAATAACATGTTTTTCAAAGTTATTATTCTTTACTAACTCCATCCTATCTTCATTTAATGTATTTGCTTACTTTAAATTTTGAATACAAGATTGCTGATATCATACCTAGAGTAGATTTTATAAGTGTTTGATTCTGATCCAAGATATAGTGTGCCTCTTCCTTCAGATCAACAATGGCAGCAAATTCCTTCACATGAGTAGATCTTGATGCTCCAAGTCTCTCTGCATACATCCAAAACAAATTTGAATCCAGTAGATAGAGATTCAAGGTCTTGTTGGTTCTGCAGCTCAGGCCAGTAATGTGAGTGCCATTAACGCAAAGGTCAGGAGTAAAACCATTCCTATCCTCAATGTGAGGACTAGAATGTTGGATATCATCCTTACCTTTCTTCCCATGGGAAGAAAATGCTACTTTAGGGGTCTGAAATATGGTCTTTTCAGAACTAATTAAATTTATCAGACCCCTATTTACTGTCCTGCAACATGCAGTGTAGTAGCTAAAAGGACTATAGAAACTTAGGAAATTGCTGCATTCTATGGTATTTGATATAAATTGGAAAAAGGTATGTTCCTTGAGGTAGAAAGAGTCCAAAGCTGCTTCTATCTCTAAAAAGTTACACTGTGGTACATTGACTTTACTTGGTTTGACCCCAACGGTCTGGTTGACACAAAGCTCACAGACATTGTGAGTCCTAGAGATCGAGTGCCACTGAGGGAGCACCACCGTGTTGCAGCATGGGTACTTTGTTATGGAGTAAGTGTCTGCAACTTGTGTACGCGCATGTGGTACAATGGACTCAAAATCTGGTGAATTTGCATCTCTCAAGTGCTGAAGAACAGGTTCAGCTGCCTGGCTTTTATTACAGTTGTTGTATTCCAAGGCCACTTTGGTAATCTATAGAAAAAACAAATTACACAGAAACGTGATCAGTTATATATCATTCATGTATCAACACAGACAATATTTGTCCCAATTTTTTTGAAATACATAAAATATATTTAGTTTTAGATGTACAATCCTGGAATTTTAGACACAGGGCCAACTCTTACCCTTCAATTTTAGTTTCTTACCAAAAGCCATAGGATGCACTGTTGCTTTATTATGAATTTAAATAAAAAAAAAATCTAAAATATAGTATGTGCTTAAGAACAGTGATGAGTGATAACGAGCCACACTAAAAAGATCTTCCTTTTTTACAGTCAGCTCAAAACCCTGTTTATATCGTACTTGTTAGGCTTTAATAACATTATACTGTGATGCTAAATCCTGTTATTTGACACATTATACAATATATCCATTTTCCCAAATTTTGTTTTTCTTAAAGAAGATGAAAAATACATTAAAGCGAAATATATAATGCTCAAGACATTCTTAACATCTCATTGTGAACATAACAAGAGTCATCCAGTCAAATCAACTACTGATATAAGAATAAAGCTTCCTGTCCTTCTGTGGGCAGAACTCCCATTTATTTCAATAGTAACATTATTTGCTGCTGACTTCAACAGAAGTTTTGCTTGAATGACGGACTTCTGGATTTGGTCACTAAACTGAGTCCTCATTTCACTAAAGATATCAATATTGCCACTTAATTGAAAACATATGGGCATGAAAGGTTCTCTCCTTCACAAACAGTATTCTGAGTTTATACTAAAGTCAGGGTTTCCATTTCCGCAGAATTAGTGGAGGTTTGGTTTTGGTTTTGGGGTTTTTTTTATTTGTTTTTTTACACTTTTCTTCATTATGATACAAAAATTCCCTATTATGAAAATTCTTGTGTCCTAGTAGGAGTTTATTTTACAGCCATATGCACAGTAGCCGGGCCTCATTTACAGTAGTTACTGGGTCTTTTTCACCTACTCTTTTTGTCTTTCCTATAAACCAGCACATTCTGAAAATAACTGCAAATTGGAATATTCTTAAATTTCTAATGAGTTTATTGTAGCAGAACAGATAGGTTGGAGAAATGAAATGAACAGCAAAAAGAGACAGTGTGATTAGATTTCCCCCACAAAGTATTGCGTTAAACAGTTAAAAATACATACACATTGTCCTCCTAGTACTTTTCCATATAAACAATCCTTGCAGTTGTCACGGGGATGTTGTGAGATTATGACTATGAGAGAAGCTGGGTCACATAATCATCTCTCAGATGTGGTCCACAATGACAACTTCTGTGATTAGTTTTTTTTTTTAAGAAATCATTGGCATAGCCTTTTCTTTTTATATACTTAATAGTTCCTGAAAATGTCAGATTAGATTCTATAAAGGCTCATTCCTTAATGTTGTAACCTATTCTAAAGAATGTGAACAGATGTTGGAGGACGCCTGAATTTTTTTTTTTTTATAAACTGAAAAAACATATTTGCATTACAAAATCTTATTTCAGTCAGCTCTAATCAGAGAAATTTGTAGTTTTTTGAGCACTGCTAACATACAATGAATTGACAGCTTCACGCTGTGTGAATGCCTTACAGGCAAATGGTTTCAGAGCCAAATGAAATTCACAAAGGCTGCTGGCTGCAGTAACCATTTCTCCTTGTGGTAAACAAGTTGCATAATATACTGTAGCTTCTTATGCCCACTTTAACACACTGTCATGCTACAGTAACCAGGAGACCCTGTATCTGATTTAATGCTTTGATATAAATAAATATTTCTCTTAACTAGGATAAATCAGAAACTGGTTATTCACATGGGGTACTGATTTTACTTTATCAAAATATATGATGGCTAATATTAAAGAGTGTATTATCTGTGCCGAAAAAACGTCTGAATTAAGCCTGCTTTACATGGAGCACAGTTTGCTATAGGAATCGCTCCAGTTCCCTTCCAATCTTCTTCTTCAGTCTCTGCAAATGATTTTGTACGCAAAGTAACTGCTATGTGCCATAAGCAATAAGGAAAATATGAAAATCACTGACCTCATTAGAGACAAACTAGTAACAGATACCACAAAAGCTAATTAGTTGGAAGATAAGGCCTTTTGTGACCTGATGAAATCCCACAGGCCCACAACTAGAAAAAGAGCTGAATAAAAAATGTGAATCTGAATCTTCCCAAACTGTAAAATTTGGGATCCAGACCAAAACTTCTCACCTCAGATACCTCTCTCTAATGGGCTCTGGTTCTGAAAACCATGCACTTTGCAGCTTGGACCTTCCTTCACCTCTAATTGGCCCAAATAAGAACCTCAGAGCTGAAGTCCAACTGAACTTTGAGAAAATTTGGATCTGGAACCAAACTTTAGGGGGTTTCGCCCATTACTTTTCATAATATCATGCTCCCACAGCCCAGCACCCAACAAAACAAACAGTACCAGCTGAATTGGAAAATACGCTGACTACCTCCTACAGGACTTGAAAATGCCTGGCTATGATGCCTCTTTACACCAATCCTGCAGTCTGTGGTAAACGCAAGGAATTACAAGGGTTACCAGTCACTGTGTATGCAAACAGAATATGCTATTGTAAAGATATATAAACTGGAATAGATTCATGCTGCTGAGAAGTTTGTAAGCAAATTTATGCAAGACCTTAAGGAGTGGAATTTGTCATGTCTGGCTTTTGTATATGTTCATGACAATAATGGTAATGGTGTATTGGCAACAAGCCCACAATAAGTGAGTCCTTGTTTCACATATACCTCTGACATGACCCCCAAAGATGGATTTGCCTGTGGAAGCATGGGTAACGCAGCTGATAACTAAAAGTTTTGATGTACAGTTTCACTTTGATACATTAGCTATGACAGCTTTGCAGTCAAAATGGTTTAAACTCAACACTTTTCATAAATGTCTGTTTATGTAATGAATGAGAATTGCAACTGAAACCATAATCTCAATTTTAGAGTCAAATTTACATCTCCCCACAAAAATTTGATACACTGGACTTTAATTACTGCAAGTTATTTACATTAGAAAAACTGAACCAACTGAATTAATACTAATGCCGAGCCATTCCAAGTTCCCAGTCCCATGCTCAGACCACTATACATCACTGATTCCAGTAAAGCAAGAATCTTAGAATGATGTTGGTTTAATTTCTTTAGCAAAGAGAAGGGAAAGAGGAAATTTGAGTAGGAAGCATGCTCTGCCAAATCAAGGAAACACCTCTGGATTATTAACTAAGCCATTTCTAGTGTCAGAGGCCCAAATTGAGGCTAGATATTATTGAAACTGACTTTGAAACTAGTAATTTACAATAATTCTACAGTAATGCCACTTAAGATCAAATTACTACATGTAAACAAGGTTAACTGGGTTCAAGCAGATGAAACAATGCCTTAAGACTTTGGACAACACAAAGACAGCAGCGAACATCAATGTCACAATTAACTTTTTAAATGCAAGTGGCATTACAATGAAGATTCTTTCATAAATAAAAATGGCTTGTCCTTCAGCCCATTGAAAAAAACACTCCAAGGACCAGAAATGGCCCCTTTAAAAAGAGGGTGAGAATAGAGTGTGTAAGTATGATGAATATGAATTAAAATTGATTGCATCAATCTTTCTTTATAATCTGATATTCTTTTTCAAATATAATAGCAAGGACCACCCCGGGATTTATAGGTTTCAATGTTCTTAACTACTATTTTTTCCATTGGAAGGCACCATAATAAATCCTTTCAATTTCTCAATGGCAACATTAGGTTCACTTAATTAATTCAATATGAAAAAAATATATACACTAGTAACCATTCCTCTCTCCCTGTTGTTCATGAGAATTGGGATCTATAATTGTTTCCATTAAGCATTCAAAAACCACAAACTTTGGGCTGTGCGGGGGCGGGGGAAAGAAGAATCAGACCCAGTATAAGCAATGTACACTATTCTGGAACATCAAGTAACACATAAATGGCACCCAATCTGTATCAATACATACAATTTCAAGTTAGATCTTTATGGAGCACAAAGTAGAAGCAACCCCCCTTGTATAGACCTTTTTCTATGTTTGTACAGTTCCAACACAATGGGACTGGGGCCTGCATGTTCTACCACAATAAAAAGAAATAACAATATATCTCACTTACTTCATCTAAAAGAGGATGACTTTCGGCTAAGGGATTGAAGGGTATAAATAAGAAAAGTGCTGGTCCCTTCTTCAGTTCATTGTTTAGTAGAAGGCTTTTTCCTCCATGTGGTCTCAACCAACGTATAAATGTCTCTCGGTTTTCAAGAGCCCACTTGCAAATATTCTCAGCTGTGTAGTTCATGACTTCACTTGGATAGATCTTGAAAGGGGAAAAAATAATTAGTCCTCCTCATTTATTTAAATACACTGTTTACTGATGAATGAGATACATAAGATGTCCAATACATGTTATATTGGTACTGTTACAGCTCTGACATTTTTAATTTACTGACACTATTCAGGAACCATTCTCACCTTAGTCATCATTCCATAGATCTTTCCCTATAGATACTCTTCCCTACTCCTCTCCAACTCCTAGTACCATGAGTAGAATCTCACAGTGAAGTATGGCTCACTGTATTTTCAATTCTCAATTAAGACTTATCAGATGGTGATCAAAAGCAAATTTAAAGCAATTTATTGTTTTCTCGTATTCTTTTGTTTTCCAACCAAGCCGTCTCAATGTTGGTAATACTTTTACCTCTGTATCAAGCAGCTCTGATAGACTCTTGAACTAATACTCCCAGCACTCCCTTAACTTCATTGTATTATTATTTCTTTGCTGAATGCTGATAATGTGGTTAGAACTGAAAAGAAGGTCCCTGCCTAAAGGAATTATGAAATCAACACCCACAAAGTGAATGTTAAGGTTTTACCCTGCATCTCTAGTATATGTTATTTTATCCATAAATAAAAAAATAAATAATCAGACAGGATTTTCAGGGTGACAGACTACCTGTGTAACACCCTTATGTTCATAAGATTAAATTTTACCAGTTGTTATATGGTAGAAGCTTTGACAATTTTTGTTACTCTGCCTCTCTAAGGTAATTCCCACATTCTCTTCTGATTTTTCTCAATTTTTCTCAAATGCTTATTTATAAGATGTTGAGGACCATAGGTCTTATACAAAATAAATGCTCTCATCATCTTTATGCATCTTTCGTTGCCATCCACCTACACCTGGAATTTTCCTAACATAACGGCCTCTGCAAAGCCCATTAACGATAACCCATGTCAGTAAAATTTCAGTGTCTCAGCTATTATAAAACCAAACCAAACCAAACCAAACCACCATTAAAACAGAACCTTCCCTCTGGGTCTCCAAGTGGATTTTCCATTATCTGTCTATTTAGACTGCAAGGTTCTTTGTGCAAGAACCATGTCTTCGGTATTATAGATAGCACATAGTTGGGCTTAACAAATTAATGAAATTAATGCCATCTGCCCCTTTTCAACAATAAAGTTTGTTTGACAGACTGGAATAGATAAATTGGAATAGAAATAATCAATTGCATCATAATCCTTTAGCATGTTAGATCTTATTTGCAGATGATAAAATAATTTTGATTGGGAAGGTTATATTTAACTCTCACCTGCTTAAATATCATATTAGTCTTGTCAACAACATATGCTCTACCAAGCAGGTTCTTTTTTACTTTTATATTTTCTTACACTCAGACCCCCTGACCACTCTCCCTCCCTCCCGGAAAATGTGTATATTTCTATAAAAGTGCGTGGAGATTCTGGGCCATCAATATGTATCCATTTCAAAACTATTTCCAAAATGCTTCTCAAGTGACTTTAGATCTCTTTATTTCTCCTCTACACCTGATACAAATCTCCTCTTGTGTTTATTTTCACTAATGTGAAAGACCTCAGTTTCCAGATTAATATTGCCACTCACCTTGATTTATTATGGTGGGACACCAGAAAAACCTCCCCACTATGTCTCTAATTTCATCACATTGACTCTCTTTAAATGCATCTCCTTTAAGATCCTGACGTAGCTGTGATTGCAATTCAATAGCTTTGGTATCACTGACTGTGATTAACTAATTCAATGTTCTAAAAAAAAGAATTTAAATTCTGGAGTCACTTTCATGAATTAAAGCATGCTGTTTATCATGCACCATTATCATAGGTTTGCACAGACACCAGTTACTGTTTCATGTGATGCATGAAAATCCTTCATCATGGTTTGAGTAGAATAAACTGTAAATACATGCCTTATCTCCATACGATTTCCACTGTTAATGATGATATACACAGAGATAAGGTCTTTACACTGAACAGCTATTCTAAAAGTTGCATTTCAGGTCCTTCCTTGCTCCTCCAGCTTCATCAATTTCAACCAAAATTAATATTCCCAGCCTCTATGAACATAACTGACCTTAGGATTAGCCTTTTTGAGTTAACTCACTTAAGTAATTTTTCTACTTGAGTGTGATAAATCGGGTATCTTTAGAGCAAAATGAGTACCGCACAAACAAGTATATTTCAGGGTGGCAGGGCAAAAGCACATCTTATTTTCATTTGAGCTCTCTAGAGCCACTTTGTCATAACATTTCTGAAATATTTTGCACCAGAATAAGATGGATTTTTGTAATGATACAAGGAAAGTATTTATTTTTCCCAAAACAAATGGCAGATTAAAGCTTCCTACGAAGGAAAAATACATTAAACATAATTAACATTTCCATTAACAGTTATGTCCAATCCATGTGCCATTTCTTAACACTGAAGGTTACAAAATTCTATATATTTGAGTATATTCTCTCACATTCCTTGGTAACACTGGTCTATAATTTTTGAGAAATCGTCTGCCTCAGAGATAAAATGTGCTATTTATTATGTATTTTGACGTGCTGAATTCAAATATGACAATTAAAACAACTGATTGGCTACTGTTTCTAAGATTTTACATTTTATGTCTATGTATATTGTGTAGATAGTAGAGTTTTAATCATAAATTGTAAACCTAGGTCTTTTCATGTATTTATGGTTGCTTTACGTGATAATATTTCACCTGTCCTATTTATGTAACACTTTAAAAATCAGCAAAAGGGTTATATAAATAAAATTTATTATGAAACAAAAGGCAAAAAACTATTATGAACATAGTTTAGTCCTATTCAATGTCTACTCGGCACTTCTTGGCTTGTCTCTTGTATTCATTAAACGGAGCATCTCTTGTCACTGTCCAGCAATAGTCTGCAAGCATTGATGGGCTCCATTTGCCCTGATAGCGTTTCTCCATTGTTGCAATGTCCTGGTGAAATCGCTCGCTGTGCTCGTCGCTCACTGCTCCGCAGTTCGGTGGAAAAAAAATCTAGATGAGAGTGCAAAAAAATGCATCTTTAGTGATATGTTGCAACCACGGCTTTTGTATGCCTTGAGGAGGTTTTCCACCAACAACCTGTAGTTGTCTGCCTTGTTGTTTCCGAGAAAATTTATTGCCACTAACTGGAAGGCTTTCCATGCCGTCTTTTCTTTGCCTTGCAGTGCATGGTCAAATGCATCATCTTGAAGAAGTTCATGAATCTGAGGAACAACAAAGACACCTTCCTTTATCTTAGCTTCACTTAACCTTGGAAATTTTCCATGGAGGTACTTGAAAGCTGCTTATGTTTTGTCAATGGCCTTGACAAAGTTCTTCATCAGACCCAGCTTGATGTGTAAGGGTGGTAACAAAATCTTCCTTGATTCAACAAGTGATGGATGCTGAACACTTTTCCTCCCAGGCTCCAATGACTGTCGGAGTGGCCAATCTTTCTTGATGTAGTGGGAATCTCTTGCACAACTATCCCATTTGCAGAGAAAACAGCAGTATTTTGTGTATCCAGTCTGCAGACCAAGCAAGAGAGCAACAACCTTCAAATCGCCACAAAGCTGCCACTGACGTTGGTCATAGTTTATGCACCTCAAAAATTGTTTCATGTTGTCATAGGTTTCCTTCATATGACTGCATGACCATCTGGAATTGATGGCAAAACATTGCCATTATGCAGTAAAACAGCTTTAAGACTCGTCTTCGATGAATCAATGAACAGTCTCCACTCATCTGGATCGTGAACGATGTTGAGGGCTGCCATCACACCATCCATGTTGTTGCAGGTTACAAGATCACCTTCCATGAAGAAGAATGGGACAAGATCCTTTTGACGGTCACGGAACATGGAAACCCTAACATCACCTGCCAGGAGATTCCACTGCTGTAGTCTGTAGCCCAACAGTTCTGCCTTACTCTTGGGTAGTTCCAAATCCCTGACAAGGTCATTCAGTTCACCTTGTGTTATGAGGTGTGGTTCAGAGGAGGAGGATGGGAGAAAATGTGGGTCCTGTGACATTGATGGTTCAGGACCAGAAGTTTCATCCTCTTCCTCGTCTGACTCAAGTGAGAATGATTCTGGTGCATCAGGAACTGGCAGTCCTTCTCTGTGGGGTACTGGATGGAATGTTTGGATAATGCACAGTCCACCTTTTCTTCTTTGACACACCTTTCCCAACTGGAGGCACCATGCAGAAGTAACAATTGCTGGTATGATCTGTTGGCTCTCTCCAAATCATTGGCACTGCAAAAGACAGATTTCCTTTTCCTGTTCAACCATTGGCGAAGATTTGTTGCACAAGTGTTGCAGCATATGTGTGGGACCCTTGTCCTGATCTCCAATTTTTCAGCCAAAATAAAGGTGATAGTCTTTCTTAACCAGAGTGGTTATACTGCGCTTTT